AGGAATTTCAAAAGAGATTGTTTGTGACAACGGGCCGGAGCTCGTAGGTTCAAAGGTCACAAAGTTTCTAGAATTATTAAAAATCAAACGACTTACATCTTCACCATACCATCCGAGTGCTAATGTGCAGGAGGAGTCAACCAACAAGGTAATCATTCAAAATCTTAAAAAGAGGTTAGAAGATGCCAAGTGCAAATGACCAGATGAACTTCCGGGCGTGCTATGGGCATATCGAACCACGACGAATTCAAGCACGGGTGAGACATTTTTCCCTCGTATATGGTATAGAGTATGTGACACCGATGGAGGTAAGGGAGCTGACCTTAAGGTTTTCTCGGACAAACGAAGAAACAAACAACGAAGCATTGCTGGTCAAGTTAGATTTGCTTGAGGATCACCGGAATCTGGCATACATGAGGATAGTGGCCCAAAAGTAAATGATGGAGAGGTATTACAAACATATGGCAAATCTCTATTATTTCAAATTTGGATATTTGATTCTGAGGAAGGTTACTCAAAACACTCGAGAAGTTAACATCGGGAAGCTGGGACCAACAGGGGAAAGACATTATCGTATTTCATTAATAACTGGTAAAGGCTCATACGAATTGGAAAATCAAGATGGGGTCAAAATACCAAGCAATTGGAACGTGAATCACCTGAAAAGGTATTATTGTTGAAGATCCTCGCTGGTACTGAAAGTATATGCTGCACTATTTTGTCCTTCGAACAATTTTTGTCCCAATCAGGTTTTTTCTAGCAAGGTTTTTAATGAGGCAGAAATTTAAAGCATACTACGAGGGGAGGATCATCAGCAAATGCAAGACAGTCAATATCAAGGCGCTAAAGTTCCTCCACCACTGGATCGACGACCATAAGTTCGTGTGGCAAACAACTTGTGGATGGTTAAATAATCTTTGGTTCGATGGCAAACTTTGCCTCCTAAAACTTAAAGAATATTTAGCCATCCACAAGTTGTCTCCACCGATGAGGTATCAGTATAAAGTATAAAATGAAGGAAAAGGCCTTCCGTGAATGCAAGACTTCCAGTGTTTAAATTCTCATACTTAGTATTCGAACACTGGGGGAGTAATACATGATACAGCACCAAGAGTGCCATATACACTGTGAACCGTTAGAACCAGGATCAATATCTTATCAGGCCCCGGGGAATGCATGATCAGCTCTATAGAAATAAGTTGTATAAGTTAGCCACGTGTATTGGCAGCTTTATTTATTTGAATAAATAGATGTTTATGTAAATGTGCTCTTAAAGATAGAAGGAATAAATCACCTTTTATTCTTATCTTATTTCTTGTCCGAATGATAAGTCAATTTATATTATCCTTTGAGAGTTAATAAAAACTTCAAATGCTTGAGCCGGAATGAACATGAGATGTCCTCTTCAGGAGTATTGTAAACATAAGGGCCTTCTCTTATGAAACCCTCATAGTAAATGGTAGATTTTGGAAGAATTTATGCCAGGAATCGAAGGGTATCAAATGCGAAAATATTCCCAAAACTTTCTTAATTAAATGAAAAGGAATGTTTTTGCACAACACTTAGGCAAAGAGTTTCTTTTATCAAAATAGAGTGCCAAAACTTAGTAAAAAGTTTTGACATAATTACAAAAGTTAAAAGAAAAATTTTATACATCATTCTTTTGTTGCCGGAACCCGAAGAGAGAGAAGGGTCTTCATTTTCTCTGGTGCAAGAAGGTTGTACCACTACCGGTTCGGGGCCTTCATATTCTTCGATTTCCCCTTCAGATCCCGAATACTCAGAATTAGTATTCGAGGAGTCAGATGCAGCGGGACAAGCAGGAAGGTTGTCATGAGCGGTTACCTCCAGTTCTCGGCCTAGGCAACGTAGTCATCAATATTGGCAATGCCTTCTTTGGCCTCTTTCAAAGTCTTCCTCTTCATATGATACATGGCGTAGGTCTTATCGCAGACGAGGTAATCTTCTTGGTCCTGGAGTTTTTCATTGAGCTTCTCAATTTTGGCTTGGAGCTCTTCGTTTTTAGCCTTAATTGCACTAATTTTCAGCCTTTTCTCCTATGAAGAGGGACGCCTTCATCATTAGCCCCTTCTTTATCATCAATGACTAATGTGACCAGTTCAGTTGATGATTTTCTCACCCTCTTCTCCTGATCCTCAGTCGAGGAGGTACATTTCTTCTCTGGTTTCTTACTTTTAGATTGGGGGCTTCAAGAGGAGTCACTCTCGCCAGAGGCTCGAGTAGATCTGCGAGCCCTACTTTGGCTAAGGGCACTTTATGTTACTTGTTTGACCTCCTTGAGGTCATCGAGAGACGTGATGTCGGGGCACACGACGGAACACTTCGGAAGTACTGTGTGGAACAAAAGAACAGTTAACAAATTATTCTTAAGTTGTCGAGATTAAAATAAAGAAAATTCCTTGCATACCATGGTTCTTGGCTCTCCACCCGTATTTGGGAGCCATCTCTTTCCACCGTCAGGATTCTGGCGTGGTAATATCCAGAATCTTCTGTACCCTTCAGTCCAGGACTTGAACCCCTGATGGTTCCCAGCGAGTAGCTGGAACGAAGAAAACTAAAGAAAATAAAATGTCAGCTAAGGAGAATTTTTTTTTTCACAAAAGAAATAAATATACGAAGATTTACGGAAAAGGTTCCTGATTCCGAAAAACCTAACGTTGTACCGAGATGATGTCCCTAGTAGCAATGAAAATGAACCGTTCCATCCATCCACGGTCATTGTCAACACTAGTAAGAAGGGTGTGGTGGCCATGCTTGCTGAGATTCAACACACCCAGTTTTAGCGCATAGTTAGGGGTGTGCATTCGATTTATCGATTCGATTTTGACTCTTATCGATAATTACTTATCGATTATCGATTTGTATATATGCTTATCGTTATCGTTTCAATAAAGTTTCAATTTTTTCGATTTCGATTTATCAATTTTTGGGCTTATCGATTCGGTTATCGATTACACCAATAAGAAAATTTGCGAGATTCCATGAAAAGTATATCGCTATAAGCACGCCTAACTAATATGGAAAAAAAGAAGCTAAAATAAGATGAACACCGTTTATAACATAAAAATTGTATCAACAAGCACATGCAATGAAACTAAAGCAAGGGATCAAATGTATGACACCAACACTCCAACGGTATAAAAAAACAAAACAAAATACATCATCATGGCTATTCTGTTTTCCATTAGTTTGAACTTCATTCCCTTGAGCTTTAAATATGATCATTCCTTAAATGTGGTAGAGGAAATAATAGGGTTAGAGATTTAGGGTAAAGGAAAGGGTATTATAGAATAAGGGTAAAAAAAAATTGTCTTTTTAGTATATCTTATCGGTTTATCAATAAACCGATAATCGAAGAGGACAAAATTGAAATCGAAAGCGATAACTCGATAAGAAAAATTTCGAAATCAAAATCGATAAATCGATAATAAATAATCGATTCGATTTATCGATAAACCGATTCGAATGCACACCCCTACGTATAGTTGGCGGAGGTAGGCCGCCGTACACCATATGAATGGGCCTACCTGTTCCAAGCAAACTTGATACCGGTGGCAAAATTCTATAATTATTGGATCAATTCATTCACCCGCTCCTAAGGTGAAAGGACCCAAAGTAAATGGGTACGTGTAGACATGCGTGAACCCCGAGTTCCAGTAGGTAACTCATTCTACCGCATCAGAGATAACAAATTTGACGTTACCCCAATTACATTCCTCTTCACACCATGAAGGTTTGAAGGGCGAATGGAAAAAAGGTATCTACGGACATGCCAGAACCTGTCACTTTTTGAGTTTAGAGGTGGTTTGCGTTCTTGGTGATCAGATGTTGTGCTAAAATGAAGTGGTATGATGGTGTTTATGGTTGGAGGTTCAGACTCAACGTCAACCTCTTTGGTTTTATTTTTCTTTGGGCCTCTACCGAAGAGAAGGCCGGCATTTTCAAAGATAGCATTATGAGAAGACATGGTGGTAAAAGATCTGTGAATAAGTTTTTACTGAGGATGTTGAGTGTTGCAGAAAAGTTCTAGAGAGATTCGGTAAAGAAGGACTTTTGAGAGTTGTGAAAGTAAAGAATAAAAATAATGAGTAATGGAGAAGTTATAGACGACAAAAATTGTAGTCATGATTATCTCAAAAACCGGAGAAATTACTTGATAAATTACGAACAACACATGTTCGGCTTATTAAATGCGAGAATACATGCGCCTTTTCATGATTTAGAGGAACTTTCTCTCCAAGAAAAGAACTCTTATCTATTTCCCGGTAACACTGAGTTGCGTCACCGAAAAGTAAGGAGACTATCTGTATGGGGTAAAATTGGTCAGTGAGTTAGCGGAAAGATTAGATGACACGTGGAATCAAAGACAGGTAGAACGTGAGTCAGAGGTGACTGGCAACCGGGCGCAAGTGTGTGGTTGGTGTTAGTTGGATCCCGACGGCAGAGTAGCGGGAAATAAAGATTCAAAGATTTGATATCGGGTAGCATTTAATGAGCAGCCATTACAGATAATATCAACATTCAAGACCAACCGTTATGCAGCCATCAATGACGATTTTATTCTCATTCAAGAGGAGTTTGATTTGAGGATCCTGTCTCCCTGATTAGAACTATAAATAGAATCATCATTGATGACAATGATTAAAATTCATTGTAGGGACATGAAGCTTTCTTTACACAAAATCTATGATCTATTCTCTTATTACGCTCAATTGAAACATCATTGCATTTACCCTTGTCATCGGAAAGGTTAAGTTTTTAGTCAGGCTTGTTATCTTTTTAAATTTCTTTTAATAATCTTACCTCTATTTTCGTTCACTTGTTATTTTTGGGCCAAATCGATTCGCTGGTCTATATACCATATTATAAATAAACAGGCAAGGCAACTATGTTAATGTTAGTATGAAAAATGCAAATGTATAAACTAGCTATAGCTTAACTAAGTATGAATTGATAGAGTTGATTATTCTCCGTGACAGCAAATGAAGTATGTGACCGATTTGCCGGCGTTGGTTTTCATGCCAACATGATAACATACCTAACACAGGTGCTAAACTTGCCTTTGGTAAAGGCATCCAACACCCTCACCAACTTTGGTGGCACTTCCAGTTTCACTCCACTTATTGGTGCTCTTATTGCTGATTCTTATGCCGGCCGATTTTGGACAATTATCATTGGTTCCATTATTTATGAGCTGGTACGTACATTTAATTTTCTGTGACTGATCCAATCGGTAAAAGAACAAAATTCTCAACTGTGTGTGTGTGTTTGCAGGGGATGATAAGTATTACCATATCAGCAATCATGCCGCAGCTCCGTCCTCCACCATGTCCAACACAGCAGAACTGCGTAGAAGCTTCCCATCTGCAGCTTTGGGTCCTTTATGTTTGTCTTCTCCTGACATCTATTGGTGCTGGAGGACTTAGGCCTTGCGTTGTCACCTTTGCTGCTGACCAATTTGACTTGAAAAAATCTAAACATGATCAGTCTCAAAGTTGGAATTTCTACAACTGGTATTATTTCTGCATGGGAGTGGCTACACTTGCTGCTCTAACCATAGTAGTCTATATCCAAGACAATGTGAGTTGGGGTTTGGGTTTAGGACTTCCTACCATTGCCATGGCATTATCAATTGTTGCTTTTGTCCTAGGGTCATCTCTTTACAGAAAAGTAAAACCAGGAGGAAGTCCTTTGATTAGATTGGCACAAGTTATTGTTGCCTCAGTGAAGAAAAGGAACGTCGTTGTTACTGATCCTGCTTTATTATATCAGAACAGAGAGTTGGATGCTATTATCTCATCCGATGGCAGGCTTCTGCACACTAACCAGTTCAGGTAAGAGCATTTCAGAATACTTTATAGCATACTCCATTATGTAATATATAGCCCGTCTTTTCAATGGAAAAATGTTGTGGCATGTGTATTTCTTGAGTCCGGAACCAAAATGTGTTTTCTTGAGTCCGGAACCAAAATGTGTGGGGAAAAAAACTGGTGATCAAAATATATATAAAGCTTTATCTAAAGACGTTATACCTTAACAGCCGTTTGCCCAGTTAAGTATATCGCATTTAGCTGAGGCGTTATATTTGAACTCAAACGAGTGGAAAGTATAGCGCCCTAACAAAAGGCGCTATAGTATAACGTCTTTTGTTAAGGCGATGTACTAACAAAAATATGAAATGGACCAGAAGTGATTCGGCACTAGCTGTGATTTGACACAAAAAGAATTATTTTGTTTTGTTACACGAGAAATTACTGTATTTGCATAATATTTATATGATTTATCACAATTTTTGAATTTAACTTTAGAAATCTATTTATTCAAGATCAAAGTCAAATGTTATTTTGTTGTCATTACTGTCGCATAGCACAATTTTTATATGATTTTTTTTACTTTTTCCCAACTCAACCATATTTTATTGTATTGCCAATACAACTATATTTTGTAAAACTATTCCAAAGATCGAGTGTCCCTCAATTTTCATATTTTAAGAACCGGTCAAAGTCTCAAGCCTCCCTCCTTCCACAAAACTCCAGCTTTCAAAATACTCATCTTTCAACTTTTTAATAAAAAATCATGTCTTAAAATTTTCTCCAATTTTCAAGAGAAAACTTTTCCTCTTTTAGGCAATTACTACTTCACACGCCATGGTCCTATACTCTCCTCTTTGCTATGTTAATTTTAACTTTATGATCTCATCACCTCAACTCCAACAGCTCATTCACTGTTTCTCATGGTCCTTTTTCTAAAACTTTCACAAAAATAATGATATAATCTTATACCTACTGCCATGGGATTCTTGACATGTCTTATCTCTCATTTCACAAAGGACTCTTTGCTCTTTGCCACGAGGATTCTTGACATGTCTTATCTCTCATTTCACAAAGGGCTCTTTGCTCTTTGCCACGAGGATTCGCTGTTTGTTTGTTTATGAAATGTTAGTATAGCGCCTTAACAATAGGCATTATACTATAGCGTCTTTTGTTAGTGCGCTATACTTTCCCGCCTGTTTGAGTTCAAATATAACGCCTTAGCTAAAGGCGGTATATTTAACTAAGCAAACGGTCGTTAAAGCATAACGTCTTTAGGTAAGGCTTTATATATATTTTGGTCACCAATTTGTTTCCACACATTTTGGTTCTTTGAATCCAAAAGAACCATATTTTAGTTCCGGATCATGTATTTCTCAGCTAGCCAGCTATTAAAATTATTACACCATCACATACATCATGTCTATAACAACATACTCTCTCCATACTACTTTACGTAATAATATTTCCTTTTTAGATTTTTCTAAAAAGAATGACCCTTTTCTTAATTTGGAAAAAATTTAAAATAAACTTCTAATTTTAAATTTAATGAGAAGTTTTTGTAGCCAAACAAATATTATAGCATATTTAAGACCATAAATTTCATAATAAGTCACTACAAAAAATAGTCTATTTGCGGAGGGTATTTTCACGTTTTGCGGCGGTCAGCAACCCCCACTAATTGATATTGCGGCGGTCTTCAAAACCCCAGCTGTAAGGTTCGCCGCTATTATTTTGCGGCAATTTTTTACAGGCCGCCGTAACCATTTAACGGAGGTTATTTTCCGGCGGTTTAACCCCCACAAATTAAAATTTTAATCAATGCGAAACTTGTAAAAATATTCAACGGGGTTTAAAACCGCCGCAATATATCTTCGAAATATGGCAAGCTCTATTTCGCGACAGCTTTAACCCCCTCAATTTGTTTATTTAATGGCAGTTGTAACCTTCCCTATTCTATGAAGACCTTTTATTTGGCAGGGCAATTGTGGGAATACCTGTTTTTCTAATACAATATTTTAATTATATTAAATAAATTTTAAGAGGCATTAACATAATACTAAAGATGCATAAATGTTAAGTAACATCCACATATTATAGAATCATAAGCAATTGAGAGATAGTATTGTCATTAATCTCAAAAACTAAACTTAAACACAAAAATTGTCTACTTCTTCTTAGTAGCTTTCTTTTTCTTCTTAGTTCATCATATCAGAAATAAGAAGAAACCTTCTTCTTCTTTTTCTATAACAAAAAAGGAGCAGAGAGAACCTAAATCAAATCACATGAAAAAATTATTGAAATTGGAGCAGAGAAACCTAAATCAAATCACATGCAGAAACTATTGAAATTCAGATATTAGGAAAACGTAATCAAAACCCTAGAGGAATTAAAATCGGATATAAACAGATTAGGAAGGAGAGGGTAGAAAGCTCTAATTCGAGTTGTACCTTTTGTTAGGAGATTCGGTGACAAACACGCTTCAATTCGAGTTGTAATTGCTGGAATTCACATTAAAATCGCACAAATATCAAACTTAGAGGAATTAAAATCGGATATCAACTATTTTCGCAATGCAGACACTGATTTCACACAACTATTTTCGCAATGCACAAATATTTCGCACAAATATTTTCACAATCAGATATCACATTAAATCGCAACGTAGAGTAAACCCTAAATCGTTAGAGTGAAAGACAATGGGAGATTAAAGAAAGAAAGAGAACTTGCCATTTCAGGAGGAGAAAGAATCTGGAAAGCGAACCCTAAATCATTAGAGTGAAGAGCGGAGATTTCTATTGTTGGCGGACATTTCTGGAAAAAAGAGGGAAAGATAAAAATAAAGGCTAGCAGAGATTTATATTGTTAGCGCCTTTTTTTAAGGCTAGCAGAGGTTTCTAAATGCCGCAAATTGAATTTTAGTGCTGAGGTTAATAAGACCCCCCTCCCCTAATTAGATACAATTTGGGGAGGTTAATAATAACTCCCGTAATAAAATCGCCGCAAATAAACTGTTTTTTTGTAGTGAGTATAGCCACATATAGTGGCGTAGCCAGAAATTCTACCAATGATATTCAAACTTTAAACAAGTCAATAATTTTGTTTGCCGATGAATGATGTACACAATTTTTTGTAGATCTTAACTTTTAAATTATAAAACTTATTTAGAAAATAACTTTTAGTTAAAAAAATTACTTTTAATATTAATTATTTATTTTTAAACAAATTTTAAGTTTTAAGAGTTATTTTATTAGGAATTTTTTAGATTGCAAAAGAATCAAATAGACCATACATGGTGCTCTCCATTTAGTTTTGGCAAACAAAATGGGCAGAATTTTGAACTCGTGAATAACACTTCATTTAAACACCCTGAACCGCTAAACTGTCTCACTCAATTGTGTTAAGGGTGTTCAAAGTATAATATATATAACCATATAAGTAATATTTAACGTATATACGCAATATAATATTTTGGCGAAGAGTATGTGCTTGACCATTCTTAACATAAGGTGGTTACGCCACTGGCCACATAAATATTGTACCTTGTTTAGGACCACAAGCTTCAAAAGTCTTCATTTATTTCATAAAATTTGTGCCTTGTGAAATGAGTTCACATAAATTTAAATGGAGGGAGGTACTAGCTGATACTCCCCACGTTTCAATTTAGATAATTTAGTTTGACTTGCCACAAAGTTTAAGAAAAAAGAAAGACTTTTGAAGCAAGTGATGCTAAAAGCTTAAGTGGCAAATGCTTAGTGGAGCCATAATATTTGTGTGGCTATTAAAACTTCTCATTATGAGTAAAGTGGTAAAATAAAAAGTTTAAAGTTAAATTGATTTTTTGGAACGGACTAATAAAGAAAGTGTGTCTTTTAAATTGAAACCGAATGAGTAGTGTTTAATTCTACTCCTTTTAATTTCGGTCAGGCATTAATTAACCTACTTGTTTAATGCTGATCTTAATCAAGGTGGCTTGATCGAGCAGCAGTGGTCGTTGATGGTGATGACATAAATGGGTCGTCGAACAAGCCAAACCTGTGGAGGGTAGCTACTGTGCATAGGGTTGAAGAGCTCAAGTGCATCTTTAGAATGTTGCCAGTTTGGGCTGCGGGAATACTGCTAATCACTTCACATTCACATTTGGGAAGCTTTACAATCCTACAAGCTCGCAGCATGGATCGTCATATATCCCACAACTTTCAAATACCTCCTGCCAGCCTATCAATATTTACTGTCTTAACTGTACTCATGGGTCTTCCTCTATATGAGCGTATCTTTTTACCATTTGCTCGTCGCTTCACAGGAAATCCAGCAGGAATTACTTGCTTACAAAGAATGGGCATAGGCTTTGCAATTAACATCATTGCCACTATCGTTTCAGCATTGGTTGAGATCAAACGTAAAGCTGTGGCTGCACAACATGGCTTAATTGACCAACCTACTACTGTTATACCTATTAGTGTATTTTGGTTGGTTCCACAGTATTGCCTCCATGGAGCTGCAGAAGTATTCATGGCAGTTGGGCACCTTGAATTCCTCATTGATCAATCTCCAGAGAGCATGAGAAGTACTGCAGCTGCACTCAACTCGTTAACAACATCTTTTGGAAATTATTTAGGCACTCTCATGGTATCTGTAGTTCACAATTATACCGGTAACGAGCACAACTGGCTACCTGACCGGAATCTCAACAAGGGAAAATTGGATTATTATTACTGGCTTGTGACTGGAGTACAGGTTTTAAATCTCATATATTACATGATATGTGTCTGGTTTTATAAGTATAAACCTTTGGAGGAGCTGACTGAAAGTATCAAGGAAACTGACGTGGAGTTAGCTAACAACAAAAATTCTTCAAGCACAGCAAATTAACTGGTTCTAAAGGTGATAGAGGAGTAGAACAATAACAACAAGGGGAAATGTTAGACCGTGAACAAGAAATCAAGAAAATAGAATAGTGATTTCATCACTTTACTTCCGCCTACTTGTTCACAGCTGTTGTAAATTGACGTATATGCTTATAATAAGTAATATTCCCTCCGTTACAATTTAAATGATAACTTTCTTTATTAGTCCGTTACAAAAAAAATAACATATTTTTATATTTGAAAACAATTTAATTCTAAACTTTCATTTTACAAACTTTACCCTTAATAAAAAGCTTTTATATAGGCACAAAAATATCATGACCCACAAAACTTTTGACCCTAAATTTTTAGGACCACATGTTTTAAAAATCTTTTTTTTTCTTCTTAAATTTTGTGTCAAGTCAAATTACATCATTTAGATAGAAACAAAAAGAGAAATACTTACTGTAACGGTATATCGTTCTTCCTATTCCCATATTTTTCTTTTCTTCTCCAAGTTGTATGCTAGATCCCAGCCAAGTTTGGTTTGATTTTAATTAGTGGACTTGGTCTTGTTGGAATATAAGCTAGCTATATAGGTTCTCGCTAACATGTCACAAGGTACAAAGAGGATGCATGAAAGAAGATGAACATAAAGCACACTTGATACAAAACAATATTCAGAAGGGGGACAGGGGTATATAGGTACTTAGATGCTAGAAACTAGGTACAACACTAGCTTGGACAGCTGGACTTAGTCACAAGTGTATGAGCTACTAGAAGTTCTACAAATAGAGTCTGAAATAAATATTACTGTTTCGAATGAAATGAACAGTAAATAAGGAAAGAGGAAGGGGACTTCAAGGTCTGCGGACGCCAGCAGATCTACCTCGAGTCAACAAATATGCCAATCCGAGCTGACGCACCTCACGTACAGCTGAGACCAGTACCAAAATCTGCACAGGAAGTGTAGAGTGTAGTATGAGTACAACCAATCCAATGTACTACGTAAGTGTCGAGCCTAACCTCGACGAGGTAGTGACGATACTATGACAGAAAACTCACGAAATTTAACATGTACAAACGAAGATATACGTGCAACATAACAACAAATAGAGATTACATACGTACGATTCGGAGGGGAAATGCAAAAGGGGGTACGAGGTATGGTAACTATAACAGGAATGACAACATGAGACAGTCAAATAAACCATCAACTAATGAAAACGGATAAACATAATGAATAAAGATAGCACGACATCACCCATCATGCTATTACTCATAGCCCTACCATGAAATAATAATAATGGCATGGTATCACCCTTCGTACTTTTAATATTAATCTCTCCATGAAACGATAAATATGGTACGTCATTACCCTTTATGCTTTAACTCTCTTCTTCACTATGTATTAATCAATAAATGAAGAAATAATCGGCACGACATCGCCCTTCGTGCTTTAACACTCTCCCTTACCATGTGGTAATGAATATAAGAATAAGCAAGAATAAATCTTACGTCAAAATGGTTCTGAGATACAAATCCTCAATTTCAAAGAAATACTCCACCATCACCATTTAATTCATCAATGTGGAAAGAACGATCAAATAAAGAACAAACTATTCTAGGCATGAATATCGTAAGTAAAGAAGGCAATAAATTACAAGAAATAAGTCACACCCGCATGCTTTAACCCAACAACAACGCATAAGTACTCCCCACCTCACATATACGTTGTATCCAAATATTTAAACACGTAGCAAATAGGCAAACAAGTCTTAATCTCTCAAGTCAAGGTTCACCAAGAAACTTACTTCGCTCCGCAATCGACTCAAAGTTCAACCATGGCCTTGCCTTTCGAACAAACCTCCGAACCAACCAAATCTAGCAAATTATTAACCAAATGATTCAAAATACGCCTTAAGAACTACCCACGAATGAAAGAGGTTCAATCTAGATCATTATTGAAAAGACAACCTCGGACCCGCTTGGTCAAAATCCAAAATTCGGACCAAAATCCGATTACCCATTCACTCCCGAGTCCGGTTATGTAATTTGTTTCTAAATCCGACCTCAATTATCGATCTAAATTCTAATTTTACAAAAATTCCTAATTCTATCCAAATCCTCAATTTCTACTATAAAAATCCTAGATTTTTGGTTTGAATCTTATGAAATGTAATAGGTAATTAAAAGGAAGTAGGTTAGAGTTACTTACCAATGAGTTGAGGAAGAAAAACTCTTGGAAAAATCGCCTCTAAGGTTTTTAGGGTTGAGAATTTGAAATAATGAGCTAAAATCCCATTTTTTCCTTCTTAAGTCCAGGTGCAGATATCACAAATGCGACATGATTGCGAACCCCGCAAATATATGAAAGTCGTCGCAAATGCAAAGATTCNAAATGCAAAGATTTCCATCTCTGCTGCCATCGCAACCAGCACTCATACCTTAACTTGGCCGAGCGAAACTTCTAATTTATTATTTCTATTCTACAATACAAGTAAAACCAATCTAAAATTCAACAAAAAATCTTGATTTTTTCTGAAAAAATCTTAGCATAATTTCAGCTTGTTAAATAATATATCTAAGATCAACTAAATGAAACCATGACAATATCTGGACATTAAATTCTTGACTCTTCTATGTCAATGAAGCCTCTTAGAACTACTGAATAATAAAAGACTGAATTTTAAAATCAATGAAATTCATAAACTAGAATGGAGCTCATCAAATCTGCTCCATGGGAGGAGAATATCCTAGCTCGTAAATTGACATAGGTTAATGTAGGTTCCTACAAGTAGAATGTCAGTACAACATAATTGTTCTTAGTAAGTAAAATAATCCTCTCACTAAAATTGAAACGAGACTCTGAATGAAATACGTTGGCAGGATATGATAAAATTCTAAAAAGTTTCTTTATGAGCAGTTAAAACAAACAACTCATATTTGTGTTGTAAAAATTCTTCTTTCTTTTATTCATGAAAATTCTTCTTTCTTTCTTTTATTTTCTTGTCTGGAACAACTCAAACATATAAACATTTAAACTTTTTCTCCAAAAAATACTTGTAAGTTCCCAAAACATGTTCTTTATTTTTTTTTCTTTTTAGGGAGTACCATTGATTTTGACATTCTTTCTTATTTTTTTCTAAGAATATCACCATGTGATCAATAATGGCGGATTATCCCAGCCCAATCGCCTGGATCCCATTCCTAGTGGTGCTTCATAGTTTAAGGTTCTAGCATGCTTGCATTCTTGTGCTTATTACCGGTGCATTTCTATCATAGGGACCGGACCAACGATACACTAATCCTACTCCATCACGAGTAGTTTCAGGATTACATAAGCCACTAGAGACTATACGCCCTTCTTAGAAATCTAAGGAAACTTCCAAAATATTTTTATGAGCAATCTTTTAATCATAAAATCTAAAATAATATTATTTCTTCATAATGCTCATCAAAACAGTTTTATCTTATGAAAGAAGCTTCAATAGTTTATAGTATTAAGAAAATATATGCAAGTCATAAAATGCATGCGACATAATTTATGAAATAATGAACCTTTCTTGTAAGATTAAACAGGATAATCCTTTAAATACTTTTCTATAGTTCTAATGAATAATGTGAGTCCGNGTGAGTCCACTCTCTCTAATCAAAAATGCACCTTGACATTCTATATGATTTAATAATAATATGTGGTATGATATTTGTGAGAAGACAACTTTAATAAAAGTATTATCTCAACTCACCTTGATTTTTCCCTTTCGAATACTTTAGTCACTCAATTTCAAGGGATTCAATTCACCAAACCAATCTCTACATTGGTAATTCAAGAATCAATTCTAAAAGTTTCAAAATTTCAAGCTTTGGAAGCCCTAGGTTTGCTTCTTTCTCAATTTTCCAAAGTTTGTACTTAATCTATATTTTTGTAGTATATTATAGGAATGGATATCAACAAAAATCTTCCCTAATAATCATAGTTGAAAGCAGATTGCGGAGTTTAACTTGAATCGTGAAATCCTAAGTTGGAGGAAAACCTTGTTCGCGAATCCTTGTTGAAAATCTAGTGATTCCAAGATGTAATCTTGTTAGAATCGATGTTTGGAAGTAGTAATTTAACTTTAATTGCATTAAAAACTCACCTTATGTAGTATAGGAACTCTTGGATGACTTGGGATTGAGAGAGAAGGTCTAATATTTGAAGAATGAAGTTATTTTCTCTTTCCTTTGTCCCTTTTTATACTTGGAGCAGGGTTTATGAGTGGCCACACGTAGCTATGCGTGGCAACACGTAGCCACACACATTCCCTTATGGGTGGCCACGTGTAGTGTGCAAACGCATGGTCAGATCCCTTCCCTTTTTCCTTGGCTTTCTTGCCGGAAAGGCCACGTCTTCTATATTGCTTTTCCATGCACAACTTGTGCGGTTTTTGGCTTAGGTGTGCGTGGCCTTGGCCCCCTTCCATGTGTCGTCATGGCTGCTCGCAGGAATGTCCAAATGACAAATACGATTTGAAGTGTTTGAAATAAAACTCGCAGATCTTTAATTTGATATATAGGTCATAATTCAATACGTTTTCTACTGGGAGATATGATCGTCTTAAGTTAGGGCATGTGCGACAATGATCATCTTCTTCCTTAAACAATTCCAACTTGTTTCAAACTACTTTAATCTCTTCCAAACATCCATTCAACCTCCCGAACAAAAGATTTAGATTTTATTCACCTGTGTAATTTTTCGAATATCTTTGTGTCCAACTTAGAGCTTGAGCGAGAACATAATACTTAGAGATAATTTTCCGGACTTTACACACCACCACCCTCTCACCTTCATCTCTCACATGATCACTAACATCAAGCCACCAATGACCCTCTATATATCACCTTCTATTATTCTAAGATAGAATATTATTCTCTATAGCGCTTAGAAGCACGACATTTGTATCCCTCGTTGTCGAGCTTGAGTGTTTTAGCGTTTAGGAGTTGTTTTTTATTTCACCCTAAATTGCACACTTTTAGTACTAACTTGAGCAGCCATCTAAGCAAAATCAAGATCTCAGCAGTGTCTATGGGGTCTAAATCGGATTATGGATAGATATCCTACCAAAGTTACCCGAAGGTAACCTACTTTAAAATTTGCATTCCTTTACTTTTTGTGATCATGGATGACTAACAGCTTGTTTAGATGGTTGTTCCTCGTATCATATTGTATTGTTATCCCAAAA